TAATAATAATAAAAAGTAATGTTGTATTTTTAAAAATCATGTAGCAAAAATAAAAAACCATCGCTACTGGTATGCGGTTGGAATCTGCGGTGGACTTCGAAACACATTAACTTAACTTTGTTTTCAAAAATACATAATTATCACAGTTTTTGTATGTCAATCAAGACCTTGTCAGCTCGATATTTTAAAACCGGGTCCCTAAAAAGGGAAGATTGATGCTGGATCACGTACAAAATCGAACACGTGTTGAGCGCAGCCGGCGCGACAGGTGCGCGGGCGCATATGCGCTGTCCCGGTCATGATTTTGCGTAGCGTATATTATTATTTATTTAAGAAGCCACTTCTTAAAACTTTGGTTGAAATGAGGAGCTTCCAATACAAGGTTTACTTTAGTTTGTAATTATACTTAAAATAATTATGGACTTCTCAGAATTTATTCATTGTCTGTTGCTGTTGCTACAACAGGTGTGTCTTTTTAAAAAAAAAACCTTTTATTTTATTCATACAGCTTTTATTAAATCGGCCTCGAAAATTGTCTTTTGTCACACCACGACAGTTTGTCATCCCAATTTGAAAAAGGCAAGATGCCTAATTACTACTTCAGTATCAATGCATTTACCTACATTTTGTACGAAATCAATTAAAATATGTTCATAAGGTAACAAAGTTACCCAACGGTAAGCTAAAGAAACAAAACATCTCGTAGATCCATTGAAAAAGGTTTTTGAACTTGTAGTCGCAAAGCTTTGTCCAATTTGGCGAGTAGTCTTCATTTATTTCAACTGCATCGCCATACAGTTTTTTCCCGATGCTTTCGTGTCCAATCCACTCTATTATTTCCTTTGCTTCGTTACACGACTGTGGCTTAATCGTCTTTTTTCTAAACGAAGGCCTCTCGAGCGGCAGCTGCGTCGCCCCGCACCGGGGTGTCGTACACCATCTTATTTTTTCGTCAAAAACAAACCATGAAACCATTTGAAAGCACGTGCTCCGAGCCTCCGACCCTCGTTGCCGATTGTGTCTCACAGCGATTCTCTATTTGACAGGAAATGAATATAGAATTACGGAATACGACTGCTCTATGTCATAGATTTATAGATTCGAGTGACAGAAATTATTAAGTCTCAATATAGGTACAATAACCGCAAGCAATGCATAACAGCATTCACGTTGCGTTGCATCGTTGCGTATGGGCTCAACCTTACGAGTCTTACGACCTAACTTCGAAATCATTATTAAAGTGTCTTCAAATTATTACTTTGTGCGTAATGAAATTACTGATACAGTATGCTTAATTACTTAAGCGACGACCCTTTTCTTTTATATCATCCCATCTGTTTTTATTGATGGCATAAAATATTGTTATTATCCGGTAGCCGTTTTCGTTTCCAAAAGCATAGTAATCGACGCGCAGGCAGGGACAGGTGGTGGGCAGACACAGGTCCCGATATAATTTGCTTTGATTCCACACCTTCAGTATGCTACAGGTAAAATAATACCCTTAACATGTAATTTATATGCTCAACAGTTTGGTGACATGAAATAATACAATTTTAAATTACTTAGTTACAATATATCAGAAAGGTAGGTAATTATCTTTAAAAAATATTGCAAGTCACTATCTAGATTTATTTTATGTTGGTAACAATTCGTCACAAGTCGCCAGTTAATAATAACTTTTATTTTTCTCTGCAATTGTATTTATGATAATCATACGACTGTATTAAAATAAGGTTTGTAATTAAGTACCTCGTTAACATTGTTTCCTTGTTTTCGAAAACAAAAACAATAAATTTTTAATAATCATTATTATTAAAAGCATATAAATTTAGCTATTCGCGAATATTTTAGTCTATACTTTTTAAAATTAATTTGCTGTAACAAATACGTTCATTTATTAATTTTACTTCGCAACAAAATTAGGTAGGTACTACCTACTTATTACAATTTTAATTGAATATTAACCAGTTAAATTAAGATAAAATTGAAGAAAGTATGTAGTTAATTAAATAAATGCTAATGGAACTACTTACAGAATTATATCAGATGAAAGTAAATGTAGGTATGTTATTGAATTGAAAACTAAAAGGTTTCTTTTCGTTTTCTAAAATCAATCTTACACTGTTTATTCGAAAAAGTATAAAGTTATTTTTTTCTGTAATTAAAATGATATAAAATGTACTAAATGTATACCTATACAGCCCTGGTGACCCACACTCCAGATGTTTGGGTTGGAAAAATCGAGGATATCAAAATGTATTTAAAATTTTAATGTCTCAGGGCACTTATCTACAATCTAGAGGAGTCGAAGATCAATAAAGTGGTGATCTCGCCTGCGCATCTGCGCGGGCAGGTGCGTTTGCGCACCACCTGTTGCTCATTTTTTGTCCGTCTTTTTCATTATGCCGGAAGTCAAAACACAACTTTTATGTGACTGCGTGTACCAGCAAAAATTGGCTTGTCAATAATATGCTGACATGAAATGGCGTCCTGATTTTTGCATAAGATTGTAAGCACTTTTAAGTACTTAATTTCAAAAATTACTCGTATTATTACATGAAAAAATCCAGAACTTTGTAACGAATATTTTAAATATTAAACTAAAAGTAGGGTAACTCAACCAATCACTGTCACTGTCATTTTAGTGATTTTTTTTTTATAAAAATACTTATTATTATATTTATAAAAATAAATGTACATTTTCAAAATCAAAATTATCTTTATTTGTTTAGACTAATTGAATTAGTTCTTGCAAATCGTCAAATGCATGTCTCATTCTTTTTTTGCCCTACCAGCGCTTCGAGACGACAAACATTTGGCAAGTGCTGAGAAGAAGCGCCGCAACAAACTCAGTCACCACTGTCTGCCGGTTTAAAAATATAAAAAAAAAATATATATAAAAAAGTAGGAAGTTACATACATTCAGAAGCAAGTTACTTACCACGCGCTCCCGTTGATAGAAAGTGGCCTTTAAGACGCCCATCTAGCACGAGACCGCGTGGCAGTTTTGAATATATTTCTTTAGTGCCGTGCTAATTTCTAGGTTAATTGTTGCGTTTTGATACATATATTTTATGTCAGGTATATCTTTCCTTGACCAGTCCCCGAAGGCAGCGCCTGTTCACAGACATGACGTGTAATGACGCCTGTTCACAGACATGACATAAATTTTAATATTATTGCCGGTAAAATGTTTAATAAAACTGTATAAGATATATTATAATGGCCAGAATAGAAAGGAACTGAGCTACGAAGATTAAGACGGCTACAGGAAGGATTTGTCGTTTGTGCCCCTCCTGCTTGCTCGCAGATAAAAGCCGGGGGGTTGGATGCATAAAGAGGTGGCTGCTCAATCACTCACATAGGAATAGGAGATACAGACAAATAAATTTATTTCTGTGCAGATATTGCAATTACATTAAAATTTAGAAACAAGGTTATTTGGCTTTTTGTTTTTAGTATTTTTTTGGTTTATTAATCGGCCACAAAATTAAATATTTAAAAAAATTGTTTATTAATAAAATAAATTGGAAAGATTGCTTGGATTTATTTTCTAAAAGCATACGTTATACATTTTCTAACTCTCGTTCGTCGAGGGTTAAGGGTGCGGCTGTATTTAGGTGGACAAAAGTAGGACAAAATGAAATTTAGGTCATCATGTCAGGTCACAGTTTATTTGCCCTATCTAAAAGATATAAAGATTAAAGATCACGATTTTGTTTTATGGGCTGCGCCAAAATTTAAGAAATTTCTGTGAAATTATGTGCAATGCTGAAGTTAACCAGTAACAAAAGTAATTAATATTATTTTAACTGCTTAAACAAATGGTACGATTTTATTAACAAGTGAACAAAAGCGTCATAAATAAAAGTATACAATGTGTTATTATTTTCATATTTATTTGAAAATTTCAATATGAGGGTAAAGCTATAGTTTTGACTTAAAATGTATATTGTTTTTATTTTTTCTAAATTATAACCAAAAGCAATTCTTGTCTAGATTAACAATTGCATTTCTTCTCTTAAACAATAATTATGAAGGTAGTAATATTTTTTGTGTATAAATAATGTATCATTATCATCAGGACAGCAATATATTTTTAGAATATAAGATCTAAAACCATTATAATAAATAAAGTGAGATAAATTTTAATTAATTTCATCGTTTGTGACTCATACACCACGACGTGCGTGGTTTTGTAGAAAATATTAATTAATGCAAATTTTTATAAATCTATGTTGGCATTAGATTGTGAATCATTCGCCACCCCATCGTCACTTAGGTGCGGGTTTCGCAGGGAGTGCGGTGGTGTGCGTGGGGGCGCGATGCGTGCAGCCGGCAGCGCGCCGCGCTCGCGACTTGACGAGGGGGCTCGCACACACACATCCAAGTCTCATCCTCGTCATTCTGGAATCAAACAACGTAGCGGGCCGCGCACACGTGCACAGCCCACGAAACGCGGCGGCCTGGCGCTTTGCCGCTTGTCTACTTGCCTGCCTCCCCCCGCTGCCTTAGCCTGCCCTGCGAGCGGCCGGCCGACTCACCCATGCTTCATTTTGTAACACTACTCGACGACTCTACTCTAGTAGTGTTCGAGTTTGCGTACGCTGTACGCGTCCCGTTCGACGCCGCCTGCGCTCTTTGTCCTCTCATAAATATAATATAAAACTATCGGACGCGAAAACAAACTTTTTGAAATAAAGTGAATGGGCGAGGTCAAGTGTGTGTGCGTTTGCAGTGTATTGGTGGCGCTCGCGCGCAGTCTCCGTGCCGTGAAATTAAAATTTCTTTCTTATTCAAAGTAGGCACTGACTGTTTCGAATTTCGAATTGAAAGAAATTGCAAGTTCATTGCAGTTTCTGATTTGCATTTGTTTTATACGCAATGGGGAAAGTACGATGTTAAAAATACATGAAGTGTGCTTGGTGCCGGCCTTTTGGCATACTTTGCTGTTGTGGTGTGCTGGTTCATGAGTCATTGCGGGCTGCGATGTAAACGAAATGACGGACGTGCAGTTAAGCGAGCCGAGCAAGTGGCACCGTGGAGGTTTCTTGTCCTCCCTGAACAGAAGTTTTCGTTTGGCGAGTGGAAAGTCTAGAAGTGCCAACAGCTCCCCAGTTGAAAATAAATCTATAGAAAAGATGTTGGAAATGAATAGCACAGTGAGTATCCAAACACAATTTTTAAAATTCGTCTTTGACAAGGGCACATTTCTGTAGGGTAAGAAAACTTAGAATTAAGCAGTCTTGTTTATTAAATAATAAAATTTTAATAAAATAAAATCATTTTCACCATGTCCAGTAACAGGTAACTTTACCTGATTTAGAATATCACGGTTATTTTAAAATTATGCAATATGATTTTCAATGATTTGATTTCTTTCCATTTAAAAATAAGTATCTAGCTACATGTAACTAAGTACTAGCTACCGTATGTGCTTGAGTAGGCACATATAAACTTAATAATAGGAACAAGAATGTGATTTATTCTTTACGTGCATTATTAACTCTGGCGTGATTTCCTATACACGGTTTAATCAGTAATTATCGACACACCTCGGGAATAAGTGAATATAAGCATACTAACAACAGAAAAGTATTAATTAAACACCTGAAAAAAATTAACACGTCCATGTGAGAACTTAAGAGATAGATAAGTATGTATGACCAAAAAATGAAATGAAAATATTAAAATGCACCTAACAATGGTATCTGCTACTCAATTTCTACTTACTATTGACATTTTTATGAGATAACGACAGCGAGACCCTTACTTTTTCTATAGGATTACTTGACACGTATCCTTATCTTTACGTTACCTGTTATTACTTTTACGGTAAAAATGAACTTCAAATAGGTAGGTACGCAGAGGTTTTTACATCTCGTAGACAAGTTATAAAAAGCAGATGCTTTCTTTCTTCCAGCAGAAGTATTCTTCTTGGAAGCATTTAGGTTTGTACTGTGTAAGGTTTGGTAAACAAAATGGTCTCCAGAGATGTAACCAAATTCCCAATCTCTAGGAAATTACTTCGAAAAGGTTTTGTTGGAACAACTTTTCTCTTTAAAAACTATAGCGGCCGCCCGCGACTAAGTACGCGTGGATCCTGTTTTACCCCCTTGGGGGTGGAGTTTCGTAAAATCCTTTTTAGCGGATGCCTACGTCATAATAATATCTACCTGCATGCCAAATTTGAGTTATATATATTTAGATATTCAGCTGCCACCATGTGCCAGATCGTCCACTTATCAGCGATCCTTCATACGACCCATCTTTTATCAGCCTTCAACAACCACTCCTCCAATTGACATTTTTCATGGCTTCCTTTCGTAATTCCAGTCACACAGGTGGTTATTTTCCCTAATGTATTCATCCCTCCCTTGTTCAATCTTGTCACTCATCGCATTCTCATCTACCCATGAGCTAAATTTACAACCTTGAGATGCATCTACGACATGCCTCATTACGGTTTTGTAAATTTTGCCCTTCAACTAAAATGCCAACCATGGATCGCATGCTGATGCATTTACCTACATTTTTAAATTGAATATCGAAACCTCTCGTATTTATGGCATTACTTATTAACTGATAATTTGATCCAATAAAATATTCATAGGCTGTAGGTAAATTATGCATCCACCCTAGAATGCCTGCACAAATATAATTTGCGTAATTATATTCAATGTTGACTTCGTTGCGAATGATAAAAAATAATGAGCCAATCATATTATGTATTTTGAATATAGTTACATCGCTGTATACCCACGTTACCATGTTCATTGTTTAAAGACAATACATTCCCAACTATGTTTTGGGATGTCCACTCGTACGTGTTTGTTAATTAATTCTTGACATATAAGTTCTCTCATTCATATTCATGGTGTCCTGTGGATACTTTTATGGGCTGAGATTAATTTCCTGGGGCTCATCAAAGTGCACCCTGAATTATTCATCGACGGGGCCGATTAGGTGTTAGCATAGGATAAGAACAATCGAACTTTTAGCCGTCCCTAGGGCCTCGGTATAGCCGTTCATTAGTATGATAATACGATGACACATTGTTATTATAACTATGACATGTACCTATAATGGGTGGCAATAGGTATCTTCTTTCTCGGCTAGTGTTTATTGGAAGTGGTGGTTGTTTATTATAGTGGAATCAAGCTAAATCTATAGAACATAAAGCGTGTTGCTGTTGCCTCCATGATGTGTTATTTTGTTTGGAATTGCTTCTGAATAGAACGATATGAGTGTCCTTTTTTGCCTCCATTTTGCGCTGAAACTCGACAGGACCACGAAATTACGTCATCAGCTCTGAAATATTAAAAAAATGTGGTAATTGTTCCAGGGTCTGAACACGTCGAACGAAGGCGCGTCGGCGCTGAAGCCGCTCGAGATCGTCGCTCCGAGGATTGACACCTACAGGTTCTCGATGGCCAACCTCGAGGAGACGCAGGATGCAGACCTCGACGCCATCTTGGGGGAACTATGCGCCCTGGACTCCGAATACGACGAAGAGATATCAAGAGTTTCTTCCGGTAAGTTAACCTGGTTAACCCATGCAGATCCAATGAGAAATCAAATTACTGGCTCAGTAAAATGAGAATGGTGATAAGAATCACTTACGAACTCCGAGATATATGTAGTTGCCCCATAAGTTCAGTGTCCCCTTATCTTTCGTAAAAAAAAAGTAGGTATTTTCAATCATAACATGCTTTAATATTATTTGGAGCTTATGTCAAAAATCTTCCGATCACATATGCTTAAAATAAATAGTTATTAATGAATACTAAGTATTAAGCCAACGGATGATAAAGATGAAGTGTTTTCAATGAATGACAAATCATTATTTTTTCCTTGTTGTATAGCATAGTTATTAATATTACAATGATTTTATATCGTAATCATTTAGAGCAATTGCTCACCAGTGCCAGTGTGTCATCGTTCAATGTCACAAACATTTCTGTTAGAAAATCAATCACGTAAACAGTGCGTTAATCAACCAATACGCATATAAACATTGGAATATTGGATGCCTACATCTTAGTCCGGGAGACGTTTAACATTAACGCTGTCATGTTACTTTTATTAACAAATTACAATAATTTTGCAGTATACTCCTCAACTTCTAAGGAAAGGGATGGCGAGGGATGCTCTCAGAGGCCGGAGTGCATCAAGGAGTGCAGTGATGTCGCGTCAGGCATCACCCGCACCGATTCCCCTGATAATGATTCCGCTTTTAGTGATACCGTAAGTCAATACCAGACCAATACCGCAGCTTCTAAACGTAAAACACTCCTTTCGGTGATTTTTATTATAATGTATATTTTTTCAGGTATCAATGCTTTCGAGCGAGTCCTCCGCTTCGAGTAGCGCAAGTGCGAAATGCAAAGCTTTAAAATTAAACCTTCATCAAAACCAAAAGGTAAGATATTTCTGTTATTTTTTTGGAACACCCGACGTTTATATCTCTAGCATGATTATTAATTATAAACTTATAATATGGTAAAATAATAAATATTTTAAATTTTAGGACGCAAGTTTCCAGCAAAAGGCCGACAAGATTAAACTAGCGCTGGAACGCATGCGTGAGGCTAACGTTAAGAAATTATTTATTAAAGCATTCTCTATGGATGGTTCGTCAAAGAGTCTGTTAGTTGACGAGAAGATGACCTGCGGCTACGTGGCGAGGCTGCTTGCCGATAAGAACCATGTCACTATGGAACCCAAATGGGCCATAGTTGAACATCTGCCTGATTTACACATGGGTAAGTCTGGTTGGATTGAATAGTAGATTAGGAAGCACAATAACTTCCTCCTTCTTACACTTTGTTTCTGTTTTTTAGAACGCGTATACGAAGACCACGAGATGTTAGTCGACAATTTGATGTTATGGACGAGGGAATCCAAGAATAAGATCCTTTTTGCCGAACGGCCCGATAAGATATCACTTTTCCAGACTCCTGAAAAGTTCCTTTTATCTGAGGACGATAGAGGTAAGATTGTAACGCGTGTTAGCAAAATTGCTTATTGTACATACTCGTACAACAAATGAACACAATACCTACATTAGGTATGTTGGATCTTCTAAACTTAATTAAATGTATTCATTTTACAGGGTGGTCTAGCGAGCACGATGAGCATTCAAGACAAGTAATCATTGAAGAATTCTTCGGCCAAAGCGGCGGAACCACCAGCTCGGTGCCGTCCATATCCGGACACCCGGTGCCGCCTATGGAAGGACCTCTCTATTTAAAGAGCGACGCCAAACGGGGCTGGAAGAAATTCCACTTCGTACTTCGACCTTCTGGTTAGTAAGCCTGAAAGAATGCTGGCGATGTGTGGCCACACCTACGTAAATGCAATGCGAATTGGCCAATGCGAAATATTTATTTCATTTGGATTTTATATCCATTATATATTTCTTTTGATTTTGTCCTCGAACAGGGTTGTACTACTCGCCTAAAGACAAGGTTAAGACGCTGAAGGAGCTGGTTTGCTTGGCGACGTTCGACACCAACGAGGTCTACATCGGCCTAAACTGGAAGAAGAAGTACAAGTCGCCGACTGACTTCTGCTTCGCGATCAAACACCCGAGGCTCCAGCAACCAAAGAGCGTTAAGTTTATAAAGTTCCTCTGCGCTGACGACCAACGCACCTTGGAGAGATGGGTGACTGCAATGCGAATAGCAAAGGTAAGTTTTGATTTATGGAAGGTTGAGGCAGCTTTGTTGTTGCAAAACCCAAAGTCACTTTTGGTATATTGCCTTCATCTGACATACAACATTAACCATTCAATCAAATTTTCCAGCACGGAAGGCAACTATTGGAAAACCATCGAACACTAGTCGAAGAGCTTACGCAGGAAGATCTAGATCATCTTGCACATGCGCGCTCTTGCTCAGTAAGTATATGAATTATTTGTTATGTTGTATAAAATATTGGATACAAAAGTAGTTTAGGGAAACCTGCAGCATTTAAGTCTAGAATCATAGATTTTGTGTTTTACTTTTGTTTGACTCAATTCGGAAACCATGGGTTTATCTTCAGACTCTCTCTTTAAAAGTCACAAGTTATGCCTGAATTCTAAAGGAAGTTCCTTTTACAGATAACATCAATTCCAACCAAAACCAACATAAACGTAGGAGTCGGCATCAACAGCCCCGCCCAGTCCACCTCCAGCAACGTCAGTGTTGCCAACTCGGATATAAGCAGTGGACGGTCAGTGTTACCAGATAATATTGTTTTTATTAGTGTTAATTGCGATTTTAGTCAGTAACATGACATATGTATCGGAAAGGTGCAGCAAGTATTAGTGATGACCGAATTTTATGTCATTTTTGACCAATAAGAATCGCATAGCCACCGAAAAAGTGTCATTACTGACTGGAAATGTAACATAGATTATTTAGTTTTAGTGATTGATGATGTAGCATTGCGATCTTGAATGTACCAAATAGCTAAAACAACTTGACCCCATTATTCTTACATTGTTTGACGCTCCCTGTATGCTTTGCGATTGATTGTGTAGTGCGAATTGTATTTATGTATTTATCTGCTTTTTTGTTTTTTATGCGTGTTGAACTGTCCGATCACAATTCTAGTAAGCATGGGCACCAAGTTTTCCCAGTAGCCCCCATTAGCTCCGCGCACACTAGAGGTAACTGGGAATTAATTCACATCCCAGTTGCTCCTGGTGAAATCTTGCAATTTAGTTAGGGTCCCAGTTTCCCTCGCTAAGCTGTTGTTATAAACTAAGATCTTTTACGGGTTATAGCGATAGTGTAGGCTTGTTTGTAGAAGTTGTTAATGTGGTGTTTACGACAGGCACTCGCGGGCCTCTTCGTCCAGCTCCAGTGGCTGCCTCTCCGATGGAGGGACGGCCTCGGAAAGTGCTTTCGACTGCGAGTTCCCTATGGGTAAGTTCTCTTTAATACTAACGAATGAATTCTGTGATATAAGGTAACTTTTATAATAACTGTAGAATTAATGCACCATTAGTAACTAGAGAACGATGGTATAATGTGTAGAAATAATGCAAAAACAATTCATTGTCTTCGTAAACACGGTCACACGATAGTTGACACAACGAATCCAAGGACGTAATATCAGAACGCGATTCCTCTTAAGGTTTTTTATAAGTTAAAATATTAGAAATTAACTTAGGTTTGGTACATCCATAACATTGAGAGGAATCCATCATTGCAGGAACGATAAAGCGCAAGCCGTCCATGAAGCCGAACATCCCGCTGACTTGGATGACGCGCCAGCTCAAGGAGATGGTGGAGAAAGGCGACGGCGATGACGGCGCCGGCGACTGCGCCACGCTCACGCGCCGCCCGCGTGCTCAGAGGACCGACGACTCTACGCTCAAGCGACACCACACGCTTGGTTAGTGTTACCCTATAGACAGAGGATGCACCACAATTCGTTTTGTTGAAAATCACATGCACGTTACTTATCAGAAGAATGATTCTCTTATTAGGAGAATATTTTCCAAGATCCTCAAAACTTTTCTTATTGCATTTCAGAATCAAACGACAGTGTCGTGTACGGCTCGACCACCGGCAGCACGCTCAGCACCGCCAGCAGCCCCACTCGCCTCGAGCCCCCGTCGCCCTCCTACGGCCTCTACGAGACCATCAACCGCGACCCCATCTACCGCACCAGCGCCGACACCAGCTCCGCGCTCTACGGCTACACCACGATATACGACAAAGTGCAGAGGCCCCCCGAAATTCCCCCAGTCGAAGATTTACCTCTACCCCCACCCCCCAGCGAGGACATTCCCGATGGAATGTTCAGCTCCACGCTCAGCCTGGACTCCCTGCCGCCTCCGCCGCCGCCCCTCGAACCGATGGAAGATCTCTGCGGCTCGCAACTCAGCCTTCCCCCTCCCCCTCCTGAGCATGCTATGGAAGCTAACACTGGCCGCGTTCACGATATCGTAAACCAACTGACCGCCCAGCAAATAGAACAGGCGGCGCGCGCGGGGCAGTCCCGAACGAATCGCAATTCCGACGGGAGCCGCACGTTCCCGCGCCAGCCATCCTTGGACAGCGTGCACTCCGAAGCTTCGCGAACCTCGTCTCTTCACTCTGACAAGAGTATTTATGGCCAAAACGCTGCCGCTTTCGGCGCTTGCCTAGTCGAACTGCAAACTAAAAAGATCAGCAACGGAAGCCCGTCCATTCAAAAGAAACTGACGAATGAGCCCGCCAAGGAACGCACCGGATCGATAAAGAAAGTCAATTTTGCGGACGATCTTCCGACAAATTCTGACAGTAGCAAGAAAAATAAGAAAATAACTTTCAACCTCTCGGACCCTGCCCCACCTTCGCCCCGCAAGCCACCGCCGCCCAAGCGAAACGAGAGCACGCGTCTTTCTTCGCCGAAAAAGTTGGCCGATTCGAGCAGCAATCCGCCTAAGGACTTTCTGAAAGACTTGCAGAGAGTGATGCGGAAGAAGTGGCAGGTGGCGCAGAAGTGCAAGCTGGAGCCGGCGACGACGCCGCACGAGGTGCTCGGGTTCCGCGAGTACCCGCTGTCGCAGGACTACAAGGAGACGAGCGTGTCGATGTGGATCCAGGAGCACTACGGCGGGGGCGTGGAGGACCCGTTCTACGAGAACGTGTTCGGGCGCGAGCAGCCGCCGCGGCGCGAGGAGCCCCAGCCGATCAAGAAGCGGCCGCCGCCCGCGCCGCCGCGCCGCAGCGACTCCACGCACCTCAGCTCGCACGCGCACGCGCCGCCCGCGCCCGCGCAGCCCACCGTGTGAACTGACCCTACCCGCGGAAACTAACGAAACCTACACTTTGTAGAAAACGGTTTTAACAAGGTAAATGACGTTGATTCGCCGTTATGGTGCGTTATAAGCGCACATTCAGTCCAATGATTTTGGTATTTATTACCTTTAAAACGTATGTTATGTAAAACGTTATAAATTGGATAAAAGTCAAAGCAGTTTTTATACTAATGTAATGCTCTCTGGTATGAAATGATGGGGTTAAATTAAGAAATTCTAAAAGTTTATAAAGGCAATTTCTACAATAGATTACATTTTGTGTTTAACACGTTTACTTACTGAATTGACCAATTTCGTAATAAAATTGCCACCATTTTAAAAGAAATTAGAATTAATAATTTATAAAAAATTTTGAAAGGCGGTGCTATTTTGGAAAGGTATACTAAGATATGTAAGTTTGAATTGGTCTACTCGTAACGCCTTGGACTGAACGTGAATGATGGTGATGGTGTAACGTGGGCAGTGTATAGTCGGCGAGGCCGTTACGAGTCGGCCGATTGTAGGGAAGCAAATGTACGAGTATTTATTGCACGAGTTGGAGTTTTGTCAATTTTATTTTATGTTCCTAGTTAATTATTGCGTGTTAAACAAAATTTACGGTCTGCCGTTGTAATAAGTGGCGGATAGTCATGTGTGTCGACTTATCGATACGACTTAGGGCAGTAGCGTGATTTGCAACCAAATTCGACTAAATAAAACAAACAAAACACAATCCAGTGTTTTGAAAATGTGACACTGCTTTGTATCTCCCCAAAAATTTCATTAACAATCGCAATTGCATAGTAAATGTTTATAAATAAATTTACCTAGCTAATCACTAGCATCATTGATGTCGTATTTTACAATAAACATTCAGTATTTTATCTAGCTGTCGTGAACTACATTTAGTTCTATGAATTTACTTTTTACGTGTAATTTATAAGATATTATGTACCTATGAGTAGTAAATTGATGTATTCCTAATTTGTGCCATAGTCAAATAATTAAACATGCTACATTCACTCTATAACCAACTATTGAATTATGAAGAAAACTAAGATCGTACAGTATGGAATAAGTAGAATATATCGTTATCAAGTAGATTTTGATTTCTTTTCTGCTAAGGCCACACCTGTTTTTGGAACGTGGCTTGAATCAGACTTGCACTTATGCCATGCTTAACTGTTGCTATGATAACTATGTAAAAAGTACCTATGTTAGCACATACGAGTATACGTTATACCTTGCAAACGCGAATCAAAATATACTGTTCGTTTACTTGCGATGTGTGGCAGTAACTTCAATCTGTTTATATGCTTACTATCTATAAAACTAGCTACCTTTCTGGACTGTGAAATAGACGGGACGAAATGAAAAATGTACAGAACTCCAATGTGTTTGATCTCACTGTAGCCGAAGTACGCGTATTTTTATGTTTGGGCTGTGATAATGTCTGGCTTTTATGAAACCTACCACCCGTAATCAATCTGATTTTTGCTGCATTTTAAAATATTGTCACATTTTTCATCCGATCTATTATAAAATAGGCTTTTGTTAATAAACGATTACCTATGATGAACCGTAGGACAATGCATTTTTATGTTAATAGGTAAAATTAATATCTTCTTAGAGGCTGCATCTACGTAGATTAGGATAATTCGTCGCAATGGTTTCTATTATTGAAATTACTATTATTACACTATATTTATCTTTAGATCTAAATTATTATATTTTTTGTGGAAATATGAATTGACGTTAGTAATAGTTTTCGGGACTATAGTTATAATGTATGTATTTAAAAAGTATGTCATAGCATCTAATACCTACTTACTACATGTTATGTGTACATAGGTACCTAAGTAGTGTCCTTTTAATTTTATTACTTGAACATTGTCATCGCCAATGCTGAAACACGATATTCGTGAAAAACAAAACCTACAAAATACCTACTTGTACCTAGTTGATTTTGAATTCTTAGGTAGCTTATATCTAGCAAATCCCTCCAATTTATCATCGGATTGCGAAGACTGATCTAAAAAGTTATAATCTGATTTTGACAATAAACTTGCGTCCAAAAATATTTTGAAAACAGTTCTCGTCCCAATTATTTAGCATTAATTTGCATGAAAATTTTTGTTTACGCAATTAGGTAACATTCAACGCAAGTTCATAGCAAAATTAAAACGTAAAATATTGTAAAGCTTCCATTTTTAATGGCATCACAGACAATTACACTATTAAGGTGTCATCAGACGGGCCAATACTTTATAATTTACCAAAATAAAGTAAATTAAGGGCATAAAAGATAAAATAAATAGCGTAGAAATGACTAACGTTTGCTCAGATTTGGCCATTTCCCATCGCAACCTACGTATCATTTATTAGTCACTCAACGTATCTTAAAGGCCGGCAACGCACCTGTAACGCCTCTGGGTCTGCGAGTGTCTATGGACGACGGTAATCACTTACCATCAGGTGATCCGTCTGCTCGTTTGCCTCCTCATCATCATCATCATCATCATCATTTCAGCCACAGGACGTCCACTGCTGAACATAGGCCTCCCCCAATGTTTTCCATGTTGATCGATTGGTAGCGGCCTGCGTCCAGTGTTTGCCTCCTATCACATAAAAAAAAACGTGCTGTAAACTTTTAACATTTAAATAGTTAGGTAGGTATTCAATGAATTTTCACTTAAACTTTATACTGTCTGATATCATCTTAAAATGTGATTGTTTGCGATGAAACAAAATTAATCCATTGTCCTTTTTAATCCGCTCAGGCAGCAGTAGATCCGTAAATAAATGTATAGTTCTGTACCTAAGACTGAACTACGTTTTTAACCTTGCAGCTGTTTTTGTATATCTTTATTAACAATATTGAAGTAGACGTTACAAACATAAGTTTAAGGTAGAATATGTATAACGTTTTCAGTGTCTATCAAATAAAAATATCTTTAATGTTCGTCATGACATAACCTTATCGTAGTACGCTCTTATACCAACTCAACTTACTTTCAGATCTAAGATTTAATGTTGTCGTGAAATTATCCACTAGGAGAGAAAGCCCTATGACATGAGCTCACCTTTTGTATTGTTCATTTCTGTGCGGTTTTAAATAAAGATGTACCTAAGTAGATGACACAGTTAATTTCCCTCTAAACAATGAGAAGATTTAATCATAAAACATTCCATTAAAATATCACAACTAGACAAGGATGTTGATGATACCATTACTTTAAAAAACCTAAAAGTGATGTTAATCACGCATTGAAGTCGTCTTGTTTGTCATTCTTACAATTCTACTTTTGCTGTACGACTACGACTGCCTACTGAGTTAACGTTTTTTTGTTGATGTAAGAAATATAGCTTAAGGGCAAAAACTTGACTTATTTCTAGCAAAGCCCTCTATATTAGGGATTTAGGGCCCCCTTTATATACTGACACACACTACTACGTTTTAATATACTATAGATGTTGTGGACATAGGGTTGCCAGGCGTCCGGCTTTAGCCGGACATGTTTGGCTTTTTAGGGACTTGTCCGGCCAAATATTGCCTTGTCCGGCCTGTCCGGCTTTTGTTAGGCTTTTTGTTTGATTGCCGCGTCAGGCAAAAGACGAGCCACAGAATCATATTATGAAGCGCACGCATCAGGATCAGGATGTTGGTTAGCAACCGATGATGATAGTACTCACTCATGAGCTGACACTAATTGCACCCCCCCNTTAGGGTAAAATGTCCGGCCAAATGAAGCACAAAGTCCGGCTTTTGTGATTTTGGACCTGGCAACCCTATGTGGACACTGTACCTACTTATTCTTCTGAAACCTGGGTAGACGATTATACAATGGTTATTGTTTTGTATTTAGTATACAATATTTGTAGGTGTATTCTATTTCCAGTGTTTGCTAATATACTATAGAATCCGTGGTTATTAAATAAATGTTTAGTGTAATAGGAACATTCGATATTTGGCCGGAATTTGAGTCTTATTTAGTTTACAGTAGGCGGACTATGAATCAGATCTTTAAACCCAACTCCGTTTGTTAAAGTTACCTATTGAGTACCGCATCTTTTAAGTCAAATCTTTTTCAATCTTCCGACCCAGGTCAATGTGACCATTTATTTTAGTTATATCTGTACATAATTTAAATCTGTCTTAAGAACTAACTTGAGATGTTTATGCTAGGCATAGATACGGGTCGCATTCGTCATCGTAACGTTATGGTTTAAAATGTGTATTTAAAAAAGTTATTCTACACTTTTATGTAACGCATTTATTAGTATCCTTAATTATGTTTACATTGTACAGAACAAATTAATTATAATATTAGTTTTTTGTATATTTTTTCAAATATAACAAAATCCCAAATAAAATTGTACTTTTTATTTTAGTTTTAACATACCTTAGTACCTACCTTACTCATTTCAATACTTAGGTTCTTAGGTTTCTCTCCAAAATGTATTTTGTAAGACTTTCATACAAACATCTAAAATTGAAGTGATTCTTTTTTCTAATTTTAAGAGCTTCCCTGATTATTTTTAATCGCTAGCTTTTGCCCGCGGCTTCACCCGCGTGAAATTTTGTTTGTCACAGATAGCCATAAATTAGCCTATACTTATGTGGCTATAAACAATACTCTAAAGTTTCATCAAAATCCGTTCATTAGTTTTTGCGTGAAAGAGTAACAAACATGTTAACATTCAGACATCCATACAAACTTTCGTATTTATAATATGAGTAGGATAAATAAATACAATTACTAACTAAGTACTTATCTATCTTCACGAAATGTTGAAAATAATTAGAACCTTTAATTCAATATTTAATGGGACATAAATCATAATATATATAGCCTGACCAGGAACATAAACCCTCGCCATGTTGCGGAAAACTAATGGTACTAATTTCTTTTAATGGCAACAGTTACTGAAAACTTCATTAACATGTCACCTTGCATGTCAGTCTATTGCTGTCAAAAAGTGTAAACAAACTTTATTTTAAATGTGTGCAATTGATTTTGTGAATTAAATTGCTAAAATATTTTTATAGTCGTGAAAGAAAAGTGGTTCACAATGTGTTAATGTATTTGTCGAAGAGAAATACCAAGGGTTCGGACAATATTTTCATTGAATAATGTTTCCGACAAAGGTTGTCAAATTGACTGACATGTTTATCGTATAGTACAGTCCACTATGAAAATTAGCTGTAGTTTGTTTCAACTACCTATTTTATAAAGTTTTTTGTCACTTTCTCAGTTTTGAATTTTATGGAATTGGGAAAGAAGTACCGAGTTTAAAGCGTTCATGAGCAGACATTGCAGTTGAATATTTAAGTTCTGAATTTGATTATTGATGAATAATAAAATAAATCCTACTAGCTCGATTGATGGTTTCATTTAATTTATTTAAACCAGGTTACCTTTATTAATATTTTTTCGTTAATTTATGAAAATATCAAATTAGCCCGTAATCCTGAATCCTGATACATAAATTTAGCCTATTAATTTAACACAGGTACGACTGTACTCAGTGTTGCACTATCAAATGCAATTGAAGCGCCTCTATGCCAGGGTTTTTATGTTCCTGGTCAGGCTATACATAGTTAAATAATACTAATAAAGCCTTAAACTTTTTGGCAAATACGGTGATGCCAAAATGCAAATTCATACAGTCATGCGGGTTTTTTGAGTCAAACGCGTCAAAATTTTAATGTCACTAAGTTTCACTAAAGATTTGTTTATAAAATATATTTTCTTTAGCAGTTCTCTATTCAGATAAGCTTATTTATTATGAGCCGTTTATTGTTTTAACTTTTGTGCCTTTACATAATATTAACAACTAGAAAATGGAGAACGAAGGTAGGTGGTTCATGAAAATGCTTTTTTAATTTTGTGGACTACTTGAATTGAATTTCTAACGACTAATAATAGTAACAACATTTCCTAGGTCATTCTCATACATACCTATACATATAAACATGTAGTTGTGTATGAATAAGTTTACTAAAATTCCCTAAGCAATTTTTGGCGCCACGCAACTTTTTATGGAACTGCTCGAAGTGTTTCACCAATAAAGGTTAAAATGCGATCTCCTCAGAGGACTGTAAATGTGTGAAGATCGTGGGCCACCTAGAGGAGGTCCGCTGGTTGTTGTGGCCACGAGACAACCGCGCCAGCCCGGGGGCACTAGCTCTGGGCGACTGGATCAAGAACCCCTTCATTTGGCTGCACTACGTCGAAAGCTCTGACGGCATCTTGCCCGAGGATCAGGTGCTTATGTACGTCACCTCATGATAGAAACATGTTGCCCATACATTTTACAGGGTGTAAGGGACACGCTGATTTAAGATTTAACAAACCATGGTCTTTAGGTCCAATAAACTTTTTTAGCTGCTAGATTTATTGGTGTCGATTTATCAGCTAAACGGGTACTTAATAGTATAAAATCTAAATAAATAGAGTGTGGTCAAATACCTGCCTTGTTATGCATAAAAAATAGGATTTTAATGCTTCAACCACACCAACGCGTGCACGCTCGTGGTTGAAGTTAGCTTCACACCAACGTGGTGGCTTGGACTGTCATGGGTCGCGCGACCTATAGTTGGCCTATGATCGCGCCGGCGATGGCGATCTGCACGCGTTGGCGTGGTTGAAACTTTACAACCTTAAACTCTTGAGGTGTACAGAAAGAGAAACAATGTAAGATTGGTTTCTAGACTTCATTATTAAGGTTTCGCCAGCGTGTCCCTTTTACCCCGCTTATAATATAAATGACTCACGTACCTACATACTTCAGGAGCACGGACACTCGCTACTGGAGCATCCACGACGTGCAACGATACTTCTTCGGCGATCTCCACTGCGAGCAGGTGCTCTTCACGTACCAATATCCCAACCTCAGGATGCCCACGCGCCTTGGAAGCTATTTCTGGAAAGCAAACACCGCGTTGAAACTACCGCCAAAGCTGTACCAAAAGGAATTCCACCAATCTTTGGAAATCACATTGAAGGTACAATTTTAAAATACCCAATATTCTGAAGTGTTGAATTTTCTAAAAAAAGAGGAGGAAGAACAAAATTAAGTAAAAAGAGGTCTTTCGATCATTGTTATAGAAAATGGAAGCTGAACAATGCCAGATGGATCGCCTAATGATTTCGGATCAATTAATTAAAATTGATCGTTTGGATGATTTCAAAAGAAAAACCTTTTTTCGGATACTGCAAAATATTTTGAGGTGAGACTTATTAATGGAATATTATGAAATAAATGGTTCATAATTTAGATAGATGACAGCGTTCGGGAAGCTTCGCCATATACTCATGTCCGAAATACCGCAGTGTCTCAAGACAAAAGTCTTCGAGCAGTGTGTGTTGCCAGTGTTGATATATGGATCCGAAACGTGGTCGCTTACTATGGGCCTCATAAGAAGGCTCAAGGTCACCCAAAGGGCGATGGAGCGGGCTATGCTCGGAGTTTCCCTGCGTGATCGAATCAGAAATGAGGAGATCCGTAGGAGAACCAAAGTAACCGACATAGCTCGCAGAATTGCTAAAATCAAGTGGCAGTGGGCGGGGCACATAGCTCGTAGAGACGATGGCCGTTGGGGCAGGAAAGTTCTCGAGTGGCGACCACGGGCTGGAAGACGTAGCGTGGGCAGGCCTCCTACTAGGTGGACCGACGATCTGGTAAAGGTCGCGGGAAGAGCCTGGATGCGGGCAGCGCAGGACCGTTCATTGTGGAAAACCTTGGGGGAGGCCTTTGTCCAGCAGTGGACGNTTTGCATTAAAAGTATCAGATGTCGTCTAAAAATACGTTATGTTGTCGAGGCTCACAACTTAAATAGTGCCCTAGTATCCTAATTCCACCTTCATCTATTCTATAAAAGCGAAAGGTCACTGATTGACTGACTCACTGATCACGAAATCTCAGAAACTACAATTGCTAGGAGTCTCAAATTTTGCATGGGGGTTCCTTTTAGAACGTAGGTGCCCACTAAGAACGGATTTTACGAAACTCCGCCCCTAGGGGGTAAAACGGGATCCGCGCTTACGAAGTCGCGGGCGACCGCTAGTCTGGTATAAAATTAAATACTCCTGCCATAATTTATTAATCATTCTTAAAACCTTTTTTATCGGAATCTTTATTGATGACAATTTATTTACCTACTTACTTTTGTCTGTGATTTTAGGTGGCTTTGTTTTTGACAGAGTCACTTGTCCAGATATGTCAAAATTTTCAATAAAATCTTACTAAAATTACCAATGAATTGGTTTTAAATATGATAAATTGTGTACCACTTTTAATATTGTGCCCGAGTTTCAAACTTTTCTGTTTCTTGGTGCCTTGCGCTACGTTTCTAGGCATGATCGGAGTGTACATGGGAGGCTTGTTTTCTTACTACTCTGATGTCGCATACGTGAAGGTGAACACAATTGTGAATTCCACTTCCTTGTGAAAAACCAGTTATTCCGCCAAAAATGAGGGCGTGGATAGATTTTTACGTTACCACGGACGCTATTGCTATGGCAACAAACATTGATATTATTTGACATTATGGCGACTGACGAGGAGAAATCTAAATTAGCAAAGCTTTTGCAAGAGATAGAAATACCAGATGTTAAACTATCAGAAAGGTGTTCAGATTTAGTGAAAGACTTTCAACAAAGGTTCGGCAAAGAAGTAGAAGCTGAGGAGCAGGCGGAAATGTCGCCTGATGACGCACCCCATGAGAATCCTTACAAGGTGGACAGACGACTTCTTGACGAAATTGATAGGAAACTTCAACAGCTGCTACTTGAGGGCAAAAGGTAAATTTAAAATTATAGGTAGGTACTTAGAGGAAAAGTTGTTAAGGGTATAAAATTGCGTAAAAAAATCTTTATGTAAGTCAACTTCAGTTTTTACCAGACTTTATCATTCGAACTCCTACATTTCTCATTTTAATTTTGTTCATAGGGCTAAAAAAGATGCTGCAGACAGCATCGTACTATCAGGATCAGACCCAAAAAGACCATGGAGAACTAACTCGAGTAAGGAAAAATTGCTGCGCATAGAAAATGAGTTGAAAAGACACATTGAGAAGGCTTCTGATAAAATAACACCTTTAAACGATGGTGATATGAAGGAATTGGTGAAGGAATGCCAGGAAGAGAATCGTACTGCGCGTCCCGTTACAACAGACAGGCTGAGACACACAGTGGACGCTGCTAAAAAGAATTTACCTAATTTCCAATATCGTAAAATAGAAAATACTACAGCTACAGCCATTTTGCCCGAAGCACACGATTTTGACAAAGATGAAGCAAAGGACGAAAATGCTCTAACCATGCAATGCAACCCTTAACTTTAATATGATTTATTTATTGTATTTTATGGCTTATTTAATAAAATATCGTTTCTAAATAATAAAATGTTATTATTATTATATGATGCATGCAGCATAATGGCATCAACCAAACAGATAAAAATTACTTTGAGGCAGAGTAACATAGCAGTATTAGCAGTGCAGTGCCCTATACTATACAGTCGTGGTCAACTAATTAGGGACAGATAGAATACTAAGCAATACTAAGTGTTCATATTCTATTATTGTGAGCTTCATTCGATATTACTGGCTGTTACTTTGTAAACATATTGACTATCAAGTACTCTATTTAACAGAATACAATAACAACAAAAAAAACTTACTAACTTAATAAAAAATCTAAATCAAATCACATGAATCGGTAATTATGGTACGGACGGTCTGGCCACCTAATTAGGGACGCTTAAGTTTTTCCTTCTAAATTAAAAAAATAAAAAGACAAGTTAGATTTCAAATAAAAACAAAAGATTTCGAAGTAAAATAAGCATTTTAGTTAAAATTAAAATTGTCTCTACCTGTAGCGGAGAATAATGTTGTGGCAGGCCTTTGTTCAAACGATCATAGCAAATGTTGTGATAGGGATAGAGACATGCGATTTTTGGTTTTACAAAGATAATACGATAGAGAATAATACAAAGTAATAAAAACCACCTGTTATAGGGGCATTTTTTTGAGAAATTAATAAAATAACCAAAAAAATACGAATTTTCAAGCAGATTTTTTTCATAATGTCTCATTTTTTATTATTTGTTAGCATTTTCTGGGTATTTTATGTATTTTTTCAGTATCGCCTGTTATTTAGCATTATTACTGTTTTTATTTTATCAGGATATACCGCTTAGTTTAAAAGTTATTACGTTTTCTTTAGAATAAGTAATTGAAAGAAAAAAAATTCTATAAAAAATTAAAAAAAAATCTCAACAAATTTTTGACCTCTTTTTTGTCGATAAAAATAGGTCTTGTTTTATCTATTTTCATATGTACACTTTAACGTGACTCACACTGTATACCATCACGCTACAAGTAATAGACGCAGAGCAACAATGAAAAATGTTGCAAAAACGGGTTTTCACGCGTACGAAGTCGCGGGCACAGTTATTAACATAATAACTCTAATGAGTAATCCCAACTAATATTATAAATGCGAAAGTAACTCTGTCTGTCTGTCTGTCTGTCTGTCTGTCTGTTACGCTTTCCCGCTTAAACCTCGCAACCGATTTTGATGAAATTTGGCATAGAGATAGTTTGAGTCCCGGGAAAGAACATAGGATAGTTTTTATCCCGGTTTTTGAAACAGGGACGCGCGCGATAAAGTTTTTCTGTGACAGACAAAATTCCACGCGGGCGAAGCCGCGGGCGGAAAGCTAGTTACTTAATATAATCCAGAAGGTACTATCGAAAGATAAAACCTGTAAATTACCTATTAGGTGTTGATCTGCTTTTGCCAAAATTTCCAACTTTACATTCTGTAGATTACTTAATTTATCTATGTTTCAGTTCGTATACGCGACTACGATAATGTAAGAAGATTTTTGACGCCCAGCATACCACTTCGGGAAACTCATCTTCAATTGGGTATAGACATGAAAATGAAGCAACGGCAAGACTCAGATCTGAGTTGTTTTATTCGCCATGTTGCTTTTCGTTACGCGCACAATCTTGGTAAATAAATAAATAATGTACAATCATACCTACCGTAGATGTAGGACCATAGATGACCATAGTCCATATCTTTCAGGAAGTCGGATTCACCACTCTGCTTTGCGATTAGATATTCTCGAAGTCTAGAACAACCAGTGCTCTGAGCACGAAAGATCATGTTCCACTAAACAACCGTAGCGGGACGCTGTTTTTTTTTCATTCAAAATAAATACTATAAAACGATTATTTATTACAGCTATGCACAGGAAAAGAAAGCAATCTCTAGCTTAGGCACCCACGACAATTTTTCTAAAATCAGACAACAACAAAAATTGTTTCAGGTTCTGCGAGCGTTCCTCTCAAATCATGGCGGGAAACATCTAGTGAATATTGGGCGAGTTTTGAAAATTAAAATTTGAAAATCCTGTTTCATTTTTGCAGTAACGTTGAGCATACATCAATGGAGGTTCGCGACATTCCCTCTACGCAGAGTGTTCGAGCTTATGCCGAGGCTGGTGCGGTTCATGTACGTCGGCGCTGTGGCCGATGAGGTCGATCTCAGGAGAATGCTTCAGATCATAGCGTGTGGCGTGTGTGATAGTTAGTATTAAATATTTATTATAATTGTCGGCCGTTTGGTGTATTGGTTCTAAAATGGACTACTATGCCAAGAGGTCCCGGGTTCGAAAAAAAAGTTTAATAAGTATGTAGTATAGGGATCCTACTTACTTACTAATAACATCAGGCACTAGCGGCGTAAAGGGGGGTGGGGGGCGGTCCGCCCCGGGTGCCACTCATCAGGGGGTGACAACAGTCGCGCAGATTAGTACTCACTGGCGCCAGTATGACAACATCTTTCTGTCTGGGGGGGCTGTGCTATCATATCACCCCGGGTGCCAACCCATGCTACGCCGCCACTGCTACATCTTACGTAATAAACGAATGGCCCCAAATAAGTACTAAAAAAAAATCAAGCATCACGACCAATCTAGTCGCGCTATTGGGGTTGCTATGTGAACGGCAGTGGTGCCCTCATTAAATTTCTACTTTTTTGTGTCGCACTGTAACTAAATTAATACACAATGAAAGTAAATAAATAATAAATAAATATCTTTGGACAATTTCACACAGCACTATCTAGCCCCAAAATAAGCAATTATAGCCCGACCAGGAACATAAAAACCCTCGCCATGTTGCGGAAAAATAATGGTACTAATTTCTTTTAATGGCAACAGTAAGTATAGTTCCAAAATACTGAACTGTCCTATGCATGACATTGACAGTGGGGCGCCACCGTCAATACCGGATCGCTGGTTCTGATTTTTGCCATGTTGGAAACCATATAGTTGAACGATGGTAGCGCCCCCCTGTCATTGAGTTTGGTGGGACAGTTCAGCGTGGGTCATCTATAACTGAAAACTTCATTGACATGTCACCTTGCATGTCAGTCTATTGCTGTCAAAGTGTAAACAAAGTTTATTTTAAATGTGCGCAATTGATTTTGTGAATTAAATTGCTAAAATCTTTTTATAGTCGCGAAAGAAAAGTGGTTCACAGTGTGTTAAAGTATTTGTCGAAGAGAAATACTAAGGGTTCGGACAATATTTTCATTGAATAATGATTCCGACAAAGGTTGTCAAATTGATTGACATGTTTATCGCATAGTACAGTCCACTATTAAAATTAGCTGTGTTTGTTTCAACTAGCTACCTATTTTAAAAAAAATTGTCACTTTCTAAGTGTTGAATTTTATGGAATTAGGAAAGAAGTACCGAGTTTGAAGCGTTCATGAGCAAACATTGTGTAAACGTTTGTGAGGCACGTACAATGAAACACAGGGCTGAGCAATGACTGATTTTATTCTATAAGATGCGGGTGAAAGCACATAACAAAATATTGACATTAGTTATCAAACTACCTGACATCATCCTTCCAAGGAAACATAATTATTGATGTTTTTCACTAGTAGGTACCTACCTATTTTAAGCATGCAATATCTTTTATATTTAGCTTATGACATTTCTTTGTTTAATTATTACTAAAAATAATTAACTCATGCAATATACATAATAATTAAAATTATGAGTATTTGATTGTATTCATAATAAATACAATGTATTATAGACGTAAAATAGATTAAATATAATAATAATAAGTTGATCTTACTTAAGGCCTATAATAGGTATCTAATTAGGTATCTACCTGCACTATCATTAGATTATATTAAATTACAGTGTATTTTCAGTATTCTCAATTTTTCAAACAATTATAACCTACAGTATGTATACAAATTCAATTAGCTATTATTTGATAATTTTATAACATACTTAAATTACCACATCATAATCCTCAACAAGTTTTACACACCTTTAATAAAGTTGGATAAATATTTTAGTATTAATATATTAATTAAATCCTTTTAACATTAAATCAGATGGTGCGTTATATGTTAAGTTTAAATAGACATTTTATTATATTTATTATAACCAATACAATTCACAATATTTAATTATCAAATGTGTAAATATTAATACATTATTGAAGATTAAAAAAATTGCTCTAGGGCCAATGAGGAAGTTGGAGACATTCTCTTCTCTCTCCCTCCATCTCACTTCTACAAAAAGTAATAATGTGGTAGAGCAGCGGTTCCCGAAAGGTGGTCCGCGGAACCCTGCGATTCCGTGGAAAGGCCGCAAGGGTTCCGTAAAAATATTATCCCATGTTTCGTGACCGACGTTGTTCGCGCGCACCGACTTGTTTACGCGCAAAAATTTACCTTTTAAGCGCGCTCTACACTCGCGCGCGATTCNCAAAACGTCCGGAAGTTGTAATAGTATTATAGAATAAACGTTAAAAGACTTATTTATTTAATTTTTCAATGCTTAAGTGTCCATTAGAATGAAAGGGTGCTTAATGTATTAAAAAAAATAGAAAATAATTATGATGGGTTAATGTTTTTGGGCGGTTTTTTAGGCGGTTTCTGACAATGTCCTTTAACACAGGTACGACTGTACTCAGTGTTGCACTATCAAATGCAATTGACGCGCCTCTATGCCAGGGTTTTTATGTTCCTGGTCAGGCTATAAAATATGCTTGCGTTACGGGGAAAGAAAGTAGCTAGGTCCTACTATATCCAGTTTTTTTTTTCAGAACTGAAACAAGTCAGTATTCAAATTCAAGATGATGAACCTAAACGAAGTTATTGGAAGCAAGTAGCTGATATATTGAATGAAGAATACGCCGAAATAATGCAATTATTTGAAATTAACTTCTGTTTAGACATTTACAAACTATAAATAAAACAAAAAAATATTCAGATTTTATGATTTTCAAAGCGTTATCCCACAAGGCGATTTTCGAGCGTTGCCGCGTTGGCGGTTTTCAAACGTTGACCATAGCTTTATTTATAGTCGTTTAGGCGCGATTGGTCCAATCGTGAAAAAATTACAAATTCGCGATCCTTTTGTACCCTTTGCACCACCGCACCGGCCTGCACCACTGGTGGTGCAAAGGGTATATTTAAATCCCTCTTGCACCACTAACAAATAGTGCTGTGCTACCATCGACTGTAAAACTAGTAGTAGACTGTAAAATACTTAATAATTTAATTGTTATAAGTAAATCAAACCCTACCTAAAAGTTTTAATTTGTGTGTGTGTAAGTGCATATTATAAACATTTCACTTCAGACCCACGATACCCCGGGCCTATATCCTACATACAACGAATAAAGTACCAGGGCAACATAACCATAAAGGAGCTATTTTATGATACATGTTTATTTCTCGGATCAACCAAGAAGAATTTGATATAGCTCCTTTATGATTATGTTGCCCTGGTACTTTAGGAATTATTCGTTGTATGTAGGTATGAATGGTAGTTATTAATTTTTATGTTATGTTGTCAAATCTGTCCAGTAGTTTCGGAGCCTATTCAGTACAAACAAACAATCAAATCTTTCCTCTTTTTAATATGAATATTATATGATTATAGATAATCGTTTTACAGTTAATGGTAGGGCGGCACTATTGGTGGTGCAAAAGGGATTAAAAAATACCCTTTGCACCACCAGTGGTGCAGGCCGGTGGTGCAAAGGGTACAAAAGGTTCGCGATTAGTCCAACCCATTCTAATACTAATGGACGGTCAAGTAGGTACAACGATGTCACTTAATTACTAATATCATTACGAGGAAACGGGCATTTATAAACATGGCTATTGTAGTAATCGTATAAATACCTTCGAAATGCTACAGCCGACAAAGGTAAGTATTCCGATAAAACGGCGTCGGGAGGATCTCGTAACTGATACTTTAATAATGAATACCCTAATGTCGCTTATACACGGTGAATACCTACTGTAGGTTTCTAAATACTAAGGTAATTAGGTATATAAAAAATTTTGATTGTAAATTTTTTATGGCTCCCCTTTATCTGGCAGAATCTTGTTACGCAGAAATTCATTTGGCATAGGTAACTCACTTGGCATAATATTCTTCTTTAACCGAATATTTATAAGGCATATAAACATTGTTAAATCATTAGCAGAATGTTTATACAGGGTGGAAACGATAAGTGATCTCATTCGATTATTTCTAAACTACTCAAGATATCGAAAAACTGGTTACTGATCCTGAAAGTGCTTCACGAGCTCTTTCAAACGGTACCAATAATAGGTTACAGAATAAACTGGAACTATCCGAAAATTCAATGTTTCCAATAAAAGCTACCCAAAAAACTCAAAATTTCAATTTCAGTTTTTTCAGAAACTAAGTTTCCGATCTGGACCATTCACAGGGGTTCCCCTACCCCCCTCTCTCTCCCACGTGTATGTCTCCAACTTCCTCATTGGCCCTAGAGCAATTCCAAGTATACCATCAATAAAAGCCTAATTAGAGTCATCAAACCTCTCAGTCATTCAATTAGAGCCATTAGAACTTCATAACTATGAGTTGTTTTCTATGTGTAAGCTGAGGACACGTGTCTCCAGCTGACACATCTGTATCTTCGTAAATATTTATGCTACGATAATGTATTATACCTCAAAAATTACAGTCGAATCCAAATAGTAGGCTTTCCACTTTTCAAGACTTTAGCTCAAATACTGTTAAAACCACGATCAAAAAACTATGTGCGAGCTGGAGTACCGTGTCTCCAGCTTACACATCTGTATCTTCGTAAATATTTAAGCTACATCAATGTTTTATATCTCATAAATTAAAGTCGAATAAAAAAACCCGACTTCAATTCTTTCAAAGCTTTATTTCGAACCGTTTTCGAACTACGAACCGATACGTATGTGTAAGCTGGTGACACGTAACACACGGTGGATTATTAAAACCGTATAAGTTAGAGTTGCGTTTTAAAGATCAAATAATTCGTTATAATTGAAGTACACACGAGACATAATTTCAAAAGCGCGCTCTACACTCGCGCGCGATTCTTGCTGTGAATTCACGCCGCGATTCGCGCCGTGCACTTCGCGTTTATATGTGTCTCTCCACACTCGCGAAACCTCGCAGTCTCGTTCGCGGCCTCAATGGATGACGACGTGATTGTTGCTGCGTTGACGCTCTGTGCTATATCGTATTACAATTACCTATGTATTAAAAATAAGACACAAATAAAAAATGTTTAATGGGTTTATACATATATTTCACTTGAGCTTGCTCCACTATGAGTGGAATCCTTAACTTTCTTTCTATAGGTTCTATAACTGGACTGGAATATTCAAAATGTCACTTATCCGCGTCCAGGCATAGTGGGTCTTATTTTTATGGTCCTTGTGTTTGGACTGTCAAAGTATTGGTTCGGATTGAAAACACTCGATAAATTTCAACTTAAGTTCATTATTCCATGCCTAGTACCTACTCATTTAAAAAAAAAGAACGTTAGTAAGTACGCAATAATGCACAACCACTTGCGACGGCGTCTTCTCAGCTATTGCGAAAAACTGCGAGTGTAGTTGCGTTCGCGATCGCGCGCCGTGAACCAAGCGCGAACCTTTGTCGCGGGACAAAAAACCGACAACGAACGGGGAACGGCGCGAAGCGTGAACGTGAACGCGCGAAAGTCCGCGAAACCATCTACACACGCGTTTCGCGGCTTTCGCGGCCTTTCGCGCCGCGAGTGTAGAGCGCGCTTTAATAGTATGCCATAAGACGATTCTGAATAAGAACTTTCTGCGATATGGTAGTTCTGCTTTTTAATTATTCGGGACATTAAAGTTATGCCTAAAGATCATTCGGCCTTACAAAATTATTAGTTTTAAATGTATGCCAAATGAGTGCATGCCTAAAGATTTTCTGCGTAAAGAAGATTATGCCATCCGTTGTTATGCATAGTAAAATTATGATTTAAAAAGTTCTGCGAAAAAAGGTAGAACCATTTTTTATTATGTGCTTAAGTGTACTATTGCATATAAGGTTCCGATAGGAGCATAAGGACATATTATTATTGGTCCTCGTCCCTCTACCAGTGGAGAACAGAGTAGGAGCAGTAGGAGGAGTGGAAACGGGGCCTTTAACGCTTGCGATGCGATGCGGCACGAAAACGTAAAATAATAACTTCCTTACAACGCCAATGACAATTTTCATTTTTGTATGTCTGATGTTTACAATATTTTGATGACCAGCATAAAATAAAATACTTCAATGGCCTCGGCCCCTTTCGAACATTAAAACGTCATTTTCAGTCCATTGTTGTAGTCTATTTTAAAAATATTTGAAGTAACAAATTGTTTATGTCATTATTGAAAAGATTTTTAGTTAAAATTTCTGGACCGGCCATGAAAGGGATTAAAGTAATTGTGTAAAGGGACTACTGGGAATATAGGCAAAATAAAAGGATATCCAAATATCAAAAATGAAAAATCAAACTTGTACAAAAAAAGCGCGAATTGCTCCAATAGCGAAGTGGACTAATCGCGAATTTGTATTTTTTTCACGATTGGACCAATCGATCCTAAACGATGAATAAACATTAAACACTATCCCATAATTTCTTACGAGATCTACAGCTATTGCCATTTGAAATTATTTTGAAGAAAAATTTTATTTTTGGTGGTGTGTCAAGTGGAGTTCTTTGTGCACATACATCATGAGAACAGCTTCCTTCAATTGAAAGTTTAGAGTTAAATTGGGAACCGGATTAAAATAAAAGGATGAAACTAAAATGAAAGTGTAAATTAAACAACATTTATGTACAGAAATCCCAAATAGAGATTTATTTTTATAATTTTTTTATAAAATTTAATATTTATTAAATAACGGTACCTATGTGAACAGAATTTCTCGTTGAATACACGCATTTTAATGGAATATAAAAGCTCTGTTTCTATTACTCTATTATAGTAAGATGTTTGTGAAATATTCACATCTCGGGCAGATTACAACTTGGAAACTTTTAGGAATAGTCAGTAAAGATTTTCTTTGTCATAAAAAGTTTATTTACATAACATACATAACTGACAAGAATAGCTATAGTAATAAAAATAAACTCAGTAGCGGACACAGAGTAGAATTAAAAACAATTGAGGGCGTTTGCCGGGCCGCGCTCGCCGCCAAACGCGGGCGCGGGGATTTGAGACGGTCGTCGTAGCTAACTGAGGCGCTATAATAAAATTAAAATTAAACAATAAAATATTAAAAAATTATAAAGTCGCAATTTATATAAAGAGAATGTACTTAGATGTGTGCACAGGATTTTTTTGAGTGTCGTAACGAAGAACGAAAAATTATTATTATAGGTAAATAATCAATTTGACTACTATAAACGTCAACATAATATGAGAGACTTAATATTCATGAAATATTGAAGTTTCATCTTCAAAAAAATTTTACTATTCTATCAATGAAAACAAAAGATTACATATATAGATATATTAACATCTTTCGTTTCAGAACAATAAGATTTCAAACAAATTTGTAGATAAAATTATAACAAATATTGATAATGTGGAAGTTGTGGAGCGAAGACATGGGTGCTAAGTTTGACCAACAGAACCCAAAAATCTCTTTTATAACAATCAACAACAAATAACAATGCTGGCTGACAACTTGTCTATGCCAATAGCAATGCGCACAACCTATCTTATTGCAAATCGGGATTAGTTAACGAGAACACCAAGTTCAATCTATTATGGTAGTTACAGGCAATTCTTATTTTCCAGATTGCTGGATTCTATCGGTGCAAACCATTATCAACATTTGTATATATTAAGACTATTACATTTAAAATATTGTTTAATACATGACCAATATAATGAATAACAATATTAGCATTAATTATTAGGTATGCC